TCACTACTAATAATGACTCTTAAGTGTTCATTATGCTTTGAAATATTAGTTAATATTTAGCTAATAATTAGTTAATACTGCATAGATAAATATACATATATTGCGTTTATGCTTAAAAATTATTTAATGGTGTGGTCAGAGATCACTCACTGGTTTAAACAGTTTGAGGGGGTCATTGATTTACTCACTATGCTTCTTTTTATAGACAGTGATTTTTACATGGTTTTTCTGCCTCGAGCACATGATGCAAAAACAAAATGGAAAGTGGTCTTGTGATCCATAGAAGAAACGTTTTTGTCAAGTTTACTATGTGTTAACCACTGCTCTCATCACACAAAGTGTATTAATCACATCAACTGCATCGACCCTATTACTCCTCACAGCAGTTCTGCGGTGCAGGTACTGTCATCATCCCCATTTTACAGATGAGGGGACTAAGGGGTGGCAAGGTTTGGCACAGTGTCCAATACAACTAGGAAGTGGCGGAGGAGGGTTTGACCCCAGGCAGGTTGGCTTCAGATTCTTTATTCTTTTTTTTTAAGGAGTCAATTTAATCTGTTTTCAGTTTCTCTGCCAGTAAAATGGGTATTTTTAGGTAGGAATGGCAAAACTTCTGCTTAAAGATGTGAAGTTTGAAGTGGATAGGATTACTTTTTCTCTTGGATGCTCTAACAGATTAAAATGGCCCAACGTTTTGCAGCTCCTCCCATCAAGAGACTGAGGTTGTCTCCCTGCTCGGCGAAGCTGGGCTGCCTTGTCACCTGCTTTGACTAACGAATGTGGCAGCAGTGATGTTGTCTGCGTTCTAGATGAAGCCTCGTGCAGCCTCGCAGCTTCCATCTTCCTCCTCTTAGGCTGTTGTCCCCACCACATGAGAAATACCAAGCTACACCACTGAGGGACAAGAGGCCACATGTAAAGGGACAGCCAGCACCATGGCTGGGACATGTGAGTGAGGCCATTTTAGCCACTCCAGCTGTAGTCGAGCCACCCGGTCATTGCAGCTACATGCAATGACCACACACAAGCAAGACCAGCGGAACTACCTCACTGAGCCCAACCCAAATTGCCACAGAATCAGGAGAAATAATAATTACTGCTGTCTTAAGTCACCAAACTGTGGGGTAGTGTATTATTTCCTAGGGCTGCCATAACAAATGGCCATAATCCCGGTGGCCTAAAACAACAGAACGTTATTCTCTGTTCTGGAGGTCAGAAGTCCGAAACCAAGGTGTCAGAGACCACGCTCCCTCTGAAGCCCATAGGGCGGAATCTTTCCTGGCCTCTCCCACCTCCTGGTAGTTGGTGGCAGGCGGTGGTGTTCCTGGCTTGTGGTGTATAACATCAACCTCTGCCTCCATCTTCACTGGCCTCTTCGACTCTGTGTGCTTTTTTTTAAAAAAAAAAAATATTTTATTGATTTTTTTACAGAGAGGAAGGGAGAGGGATAGTTAGAAACATCGATCAGTTGCCTCCTGCACACCCACTGCTGGGGATGTGCCCACAACCAAGGTACATGCCCTTGACTGGAATCGAACCTGAGACCTTTGAGTCTGCAGGCTGACGCTCTATCCACTGAGCCAAACTGGTTAGGGCGATTCTGTGCTCTTGATTGTCGTGCTGTGCGGACTCTTTGAAGGAAATAGGGCTCCTGGGAATAATTTTGCAATTAAGAAAAACTGAATAGTTAGATGTAGACAAAACAATTGAATGCAAGTTTGAAAAGTACAAAGAAGGGGAGCCACTCAAACACTAGTATTTGGGTTAAGAGGACTGCTTGGATGTACTTACTCTTTGGCATCTGCCAATATGATTTCTCAGGATGTGGTAGTTGGCTGACGGCCTCCTACAGCACTAGATTCTGCTCTCCCTCTGGTTTTTCTTCTGTTCCCTTCTGCCCTCAGAAGCCTTCCTCTAGCCTGTCCTTGCCCTTGTTCTCTTTCTAGGAGCTCATATTAGTCAGGGTTCTCTAGTGAAATAGAATCAACAGCATATTTATCCCTATCTATCATCTATCTATCTATCTATCTATCTATCTATCTATCTATCTATCTATCTGTTATCTATCTATCTATCATCTATCTATCTATTTATCTATCTATCATCTATCTATCTATCTATCTATCTATCTGTTATCTATCATCTATCTATCTCTCTATCTATCTATCTATCATCTATCTATCTATCTATCTAGCTATCATCTATCATCTATCTATCTGTTATGCATCTACATAGCTATGGCCAGTGGGAATTTGTCTGAAAGGAAATTTGAATAGATAGAGAAAAGTTTTGTAGAGATGGGTTGCTGGGCACCCTACAGAATCTGTGAGATTCACTGTCGTGGTTGCCTGTTACTGCTGTGAGAGATTGCCATGGAAGTTAGTAGCTTGAAATAACACAAATGCACAAGAAGTTCAGAAGTCTGACAAGGATCTCACTGGGCTTTGGTCAAGGTGTTGGGAGGGCTGCGTTCCTTCCTGTGGCCCTAGGGCTGTGGTCGGCACACTGTGACTCGCGAGCCACATGCGGCTTTTTGGCCCCTTGAGTGTGGCTCCTCCACAAAATACCACGTGCGGGTGCGCACGTACAGTGCGATTGAAACTTCGTGGCCCATGCGCAGAAGTCGGTTTTCGTCCTGGGCGAGTCTATTTTGAAGAAGTACTGTTGATATTTGGCTCTGTTGACTAATGAGTTTGCCGACCAAGGCCCCAGGGGAAAGTTGTTTCCTTGCCTTTGCGTTTTCCAGGTTCCAGATGTTGCTCTCATTCCTTGGTTCGTGGTCCCCTTTCTCCATCTTCAAAGGGAGCGATGGCGGGATGAGTCCTTTTCACATTGCATCACTTACACCGTTCTGCCTCCCTCTTCCACTTTTTTTAAAAAAAATATATATTTTATTGATTTTTTACAGAGAGGAAGGGAGAGAGATAGAGAGTTAGAAACATCGATGAGAGAGAGACATCGATCAGCTGCCTCCTGCACATCTCCCACTGGGGGTGTGCCCGCAACCCAGGCACATGCCCCTGACCGGAATCGAACCCGGGACCCTTCAGTCCGCAGGCCGACGCTCTATCCACTGAGCCAAACCGGTTTTGGCTCCCTCTTCCACTTTTAAGGACCCCGTGATTGAATTGGGCCCTCCAGAGAGGCCGGGACGATCTCCCCATCTCAAAGCGTCCAATTTGATCACACCTGCATTTCCCGTTTCCCATGTGACCTAACGTTCACAGGCTCTGGGGAGTAGGATGTGGACATCTTCAGTAGCCATTGTTCTGCCTACCGTAGCTGCATGATTTATGTCCATTTAAAATAATAATTAGTGCAAGATGTGATTTTAAGTGGAAAGGTATAATAATTTTACCTTGTTAAAATTTTGGTTTTTTAAAAAGAAAATTGGAAGTATATTTATGCTTATTAAATTTATAAATTATGAATTTTATTTGGGAATGTTTTGCTTATAGGGTTAAAGCTTCTCTGAGCAGTTATTTCAAGTGCTTATAAAAAAAGCAAATTCATTAGATTTATAATTGCAGCTTTAAAATCTTGAAGGAACTTTTACTGTTTGCTAAAGGACTTTTTTTTTTTTTTTTTTAGGAAACTTTGGTCTGTTCAATTTGAGTTTTTCAAACAGCAAAAGAAGGCCCTCTTATTTTGTATGAAAATTTACTAGACTTGTAAAGACTTAGTTGCACTTAAAAGAAACTTTAATGAATACTGAGTTTCTACACTTGTTACTTTATCAACTACTATTAATTTTTAACTGAGGAGCCATATACATAAACTCATGCTGATTCTCATTCTAGCCAAAGGTAAGTGTGTGGTTATAACTGAGACTTTAAAAGCACTTAATGAATATATGATATGTGGGTTTATTCGTTCATTATGCTCTGGCACTGTGCTAGGTACTAGACAGAGCCACAAAAAGGATTAGAATGTTCTGGGAGATGAGATTTACTTGAGGCTTCAGCAAGGAGGTAGCCCCACAAGCAATAGAAGCTTACCAGACAGAGGGGCGGGGGAACAGCATTCTAGGCACGTTGGAACAGCCTGAGCAAAGAATGCATGGGCTATTTCTGAAATGGTGCAATTTTGTGATCCTGGTGGAAATTTAAAAAAATTACCTCTCATGAACATTGTGTGTCATTTTGTGGTGGAGAGTTAGTGGCAGGATCAGGGTACGTCCCAGAGTGAATGTACTGAGACAGTTACCCACAAGTCAGTCACCTGAGCAAATCGCACCCAACTTAGAACACAGTGTAATTTTTACCCCCTTTTCAGGCTCAGGGAATAATAATTGTTGATGTAAATTGAACTCATATTATATGCCTGGCTCCAGGTACTTTACATGTACTAGTTCACTTGACCCCCACAACCATAAGAAATAAATGATTTATCATCATCTTAGAGTTGAGGACATTGAGACGGGGGTAAGTGTGGTCTTTGTCTGGCAGGGCCATGATCTGCACCTCGCACAAGCCATTTCCTCTTCCTGGAATGCTCATGCCCTTATTCTTCTAGGGCCAAGTCCTTCTCCCCTTTCAGGTCTCAGCCTTTCTTTATTCCCTTCATAGCACTTATTACAAATTTTATTTTTTCCTATTTGTTTTTATTGTCTTTCTCACTAGAACCTAAATTCTATTAAGGCAGGGACCATGTGAGTCTTGTTCATCTTCCTATTCCTAGTGCCTTGCAGAGTCTAGCTTATAGTAGTTATTCATTAAATGTTGGTGAGTACATTGATATCGACTTGAAAGTTCATTATCCCCTAATCTTTTTACTATATAAACAGCAAATATAGAAATATCTCATGTAAGTGTAATGCTGTATTACTGACTCAGGTTGGTACCCAGCAGCAAGCTTCTTTTTCTATGTATTCCTATAAATTTTACAACAATGAGAAGTTTCTGGGAGAAGACATATAAGCCTAGTGAGGCAAAAGATAAACACACTCAGTATGATGAAAGCCAACTGGAATTGATACACACCAAAAATGCACCCGTGTGTGTTGTTGGAAAAACATTTATTGCAATTCAGTGTCAAAAAGTTTTACAAAAATATGCCACCGTCTGGTACAAACTATAAAAATGTCAGTTCATCATGCAAGAAAAGTGTGCAAATAATTTATACAGATGGACTCAGCTCACACGACATTAAAGGAACAGCTTTGCATGTAATTGATCTAACCTTATACTTTCAGTTACAATGTCCAACCCCCTGTACTATTTGTCATTGAAAAAGAAAAGTGTTTAAGCTCTGGACATGGACTTGAATATACCCCCTTGAGCCAGGGTGATTGGCACTTGGTAGAATCAAGATGGCGCCAAGAGCGCTCAAGGGTAGAACACCGCTTGGAGCCTTCTGCTTAACAGGCCTGTGTATCGTTAATTAAACAAACATTTCTATACTCGAAGACAGAAAAAGTCACGTTCAAACTCCAGAAGTAATGTGGTAGCAGATGGCGTTTCAAGAAGTTCAGAGTTTTGGAGCAACCATCCATTTTTGGCCAAATGGAGCAGGGCCTAAGTTTTGAGAGGTTTTTCAGGAAGTTTTGTTTGCTGAGTTGAGTTCAAAGACACTTTGGAAAATGTCCAGCAGACAAAGACTTGAATACCGTGGTCCCTTGCTCCTTGCTGTCTCATGGAATAATCCCCCCTCCCCCGCCCCCCGCTTAGTAGAGATGAGGTTTAGCAGAGAGCAAACTTCCACGGGGATAGAGGCTCCCGGGATGGGCTCCACAGCAGGTACCAGAGGACAGGGAGGTGGAGGGGGTGGATTAAATGTACCTCTCAGTTTAAGGAGAGAGGAAACTCCTGCTTGGTAATCATCAGAACTTCAGGTTCTAGAAGGCAAGCCAAATGCTCAGCTATTACCTGTCTTAAGGGCCACTTTTATAATTAAAATGTAAGTACCCAGGGAAAATGAATTTGTCAAAACACGCTGCTTACTTTGTGGCCAGCAGGTTGCACTCACTAGAATGCTGTGCTCGCACAGAGTTAGGCGTCTGTAAAAATTTTAAGTGGCTCCTGGATTTCTCCAGGAAGAACCAGGGACTTAAAATGTTTGGAAAATTGACGGCCAGATGCCTAACACTGGACCCTCATGCTTGCCTTCCTCCGTGAAGGTCTTGAGAAGAATCAGGTTGGTTTCACGTGTCTCCAGCCACACAGAAAGGTGTGGGGGCAGGGGGCACCAAGTCAAGGCCTCAGAACATCCCAGGTTTATGGTCAGGTCTACCACTGAGTGCCAGGGGGGCTGAGGCACAGGGAGGACCAGACTTCAACATCTCTAACCTCCCTTCCAGCACTAAAGTCTGGGGTAAGACTTTCCTTCCCTTGGAAAACCATGGGGAGTTTACTTTCCTTAACAAAACAGAGAAGAAAGCATCTACAGAAAACGAATTTAGAGGGATTACAATCTTGTTTGTTGAAGACATCAAGGGCCCGAGATATATCAAAGAGTCACGGGTCTGCATTGCTAGAGGTTCAAGGTATCTCTGAGGTCTGTTTAAACACTAATAGGATTTTAGGCCAGCGTCCAGTCAGAGGGATGGTTCACAGACTCGGGGAGTTGGAAACAGATTAAAAACACACACAAAACAACAGATGTCGACATAGAAACTGATGATATAGTTTCGTTAGAAAAAAATTCACACATAAAATTACAGTTAAAAAAATTCACACATAAAATAGAGTATTTGCATAGCAAGACATTTTTTGCCCTACAATCTGGCAGGAAAATATAAACTCAGGTGGATATTTTGATAAACTCTGTATTGAACGCTAAGGATGATATACCGTTGAACATGTCTTGAAATGATTGACCTTCTTGTACATCATACCCCTTGCTCAGACAAATGAAATTCCAAACTCTTTCTCTCCGCCCACAAAAACAACGTGAACAAGGAGCCTGTGGTAACAGCAAGCTTGTCGTGAAAAAGTTTTTGAATCTACAAAGATGACAGCGGTGGCAGTAATGCAATACATACTCGTCGTCTTACCTCACCACTGCCAAGCAAAGCCCGCACTTGTGTTGAGTTTTGCAGTATGAACCCAGCTCATCTAAAATATCTGCTCTGAGCCACTTCAATATAAGATTGATCATCATGAAACAAATGTCACCGCACAACTGACACCTTGAAATTTCTGCCTCTGGCCCTCCCACGGGACTGGTCCATCTGCTCAAAGTAACAGCGTTGAGTAATAACAGTCTAGTTTAAGATGTCATTACACTTTCTTCTGGATCTCGCTATAAAGTGAACACTCCTCAGCTTTGCATATTCTCCTCTCCTCAAATGCTGTTCTCCAGTCTCAAGAAGCTCTAGGCTCTTGCTCATCGACCTTTGAGTTGGACCAAATGATAACATGCCTGTGGATTTGCTCACACTCCTCTGTACAACACTCCTTCCTTTTCTGGAAGTCCAAATGACTTCATATTTTACTACACAGGATTGGGGTGTACAGCAAAGAGAGCAGAGTGGTCTATCTCTCCCAGCAATTTCCATTGGCATGTCCCTTCTGGCTTTTAGACCAGCAGTTCTGAGACAGGGATTCCTTGTTTTTGTTTTTTAGCTGGGGTTGTCCTAGGAGGGTTTGCCTAGACATTCTGTAGATGATTAGTGCCCAGGGAACACGAATGTTCTTCCTACCTCACTTTACTTACAGGGGAGGCTCTGACCACGCTGCACTGCTACCAACGCAGATGCTCTGTGACAGCTATGCGCGTTCCCATTGCCCTCACACAAACCACAGCTTCCAAGAGATGCCACTTCTAATCCTTTCCCTCTCCCTCTGCACCTGCCATTTCCTTCTTAGTCTCCTCTTCCACTGAAAGAGAACCAGGTGTCGCTTTCTCTTTTCTTCCTTAAAAATTCCTCTTGACTGTCACACACCACCTCCTGGGACGCCAGAGGAGATGGGAGAGCCGAGACACCCTCTAGGCAAACATCTCAGAAAACCATAACCCTGTCACTTGTGGTAGGGGTTGCCTTGCACCCACACACCTTGCCATGAGCAAGCATGAGCATTGCGGACAGTCCTACCGAGGCTGGTTCGCCAGCTTTGTGCTGAGAGTCCAGAGCAGGTGACATTTCTGGGACTGTAAACCTGAAGGTGCCCAAGAGCTGCCACCTCCTTGATCAACATGAAGGGTCAGAGGTCACGAGTTGGTGGGAAGATGTGGAAGGCCATGAACACCTAACCCTAAAATTATAAATAGTCAAAGGTTCCAAAGCTCTCACCCCACATCTTTAAGAAAGCCGAGACACTTGAGAAAAGCTGTCTGAATTATGGAAGCTTTTTAATTCCTCAGTGTGACCTTGACTCGGTGGAGAGAGGAGAGCAAACACCTCTCAGTATTACAATGGTTTGTGGCACCCCAAAGCTCAATATCACCCAATAAGATTTTGTTTAATATTTAATTTTCCTCATTAGGGAGAATTTAAATTCAATTTAATTTTTTCTTCTTGGAGGGTGATCATGAAAAAATTACTGAGAAACCCTGGTGTGGGCACAAACATTGCAAAGTGAGGAGCATCGACTAACAACCGGCTTCTCTTCCAAATGCTGGTACTTGAGTTGCGTGTTGAGGGAAGGGCATGCGACGGCCCCACATCACTAGCTGGTCCCTGGGCTTGTTTCTGTACATGCCTACCCATCTTTCCCCTCTTCAGGTCACCCCAAGTTCAACCCCTAAGGATTCACTGATTCTCAGTGTGGATGTGAACCAAGTTCCTATTTTGCTTCACTTATTTTCCAAGCACATGCAGGGTGGCAACTTTATTTACAAGAAAAAAAAAAAAGGCAAAGCAAATACAATGGCAAAAATATGTACATTATTGTAGAAAAGCAAAGTTCTATAAAAAGTAAAAAACAAAAACACTCCCCACCCTATCCCAGGAATATCTGATAACGAACTCATTACATCCTGAGATTTCTCTCCCACGTAGTTACCTACTGGTATTGGCCAAGCAAGATCCCCTGGGGTACACAGCATGTTTAGGATGAACTCTAAGCACCTCTGTTCCCTATTTGGCTGGAACGCCAGGCTTTGTTATCATCCTGCAAGAAGCCCTCGCTCAGGTCGACCCCATTTAGACATGGGGCGTAACAAAAAGAAAGCTCCTCAGCTCATCACCCATCAAGAGGAAGGGTTCCCCTGACATGTCACACCGGCTTCACAGGCCTTTATCAGCGCTCTGGCTCCGACCAGTCCACAGAGATACGCTTTTGCTTTTCCGAGAAGATGCCCCAGGAAGCAGACATGCCAAGAAATTAAACAGCAGGGGGTGACTAATGATCTTTTCTGTGATTGGACATCCTCTGGGATGGTTGTTAATTGGCCTTCTGTTGCCCTGAACGAGCTATGACACGAAAGGATAAAAGGCCTGCATGTTTTGAGGTTGTTCTAGTAGAGACGCAACTCTGAAGACTGCCCCCTTCACCTCCCAAGGAGCCTAATGAGGACTGCTCCAAGACCCCCTCCATTTTCAATCACTTTTTATCTGATGAGAAAACGAGACGCACAGACACTGCCTACTGGGCGACGCACTGTGTCAGAGAGAGCGCTGTATGCTTTCCGAGGTAGACTATTGTGTGATATCTTCATAAGATAAGGCCCTATGTGTGGGGGTAAGATGGGTGGTACTCCGTTGCCTTTTCAAAGCTAACCCAAAATCAAAACCAAAAGCCCAGGGATTTCTCATCTGCAGTTTTTCTTCTTTCTTTTTTTCTTTTTTAAACACATTTTCACATTGTAAACAAAGCGTGTTCTATCTTGTGTTCGAGTTTTGCCCTCTTCTTCTGCATCTCTGAGGAATTCTATATACAGGAGTTCTCGTGACCATCAAGAGAGTTCCATTTTCACCGATGACACGGAACTCCTGCCCTTACCATCTTGCTGGCAAATCGTTAGGGAAAATAAAGTTTATTTACAGTATTTCTGCTTTTCCATACCAATTCTAATGAGAAGTCCATATTCTTAAGTTCCCAGCCAGCGACTGCGTTTCTCCCCTCCAGTGTCCTCTCCGTGACTTATCTCAGAAGCTTCGAGCCAATGTTTAAAATGTACACTATTTACAAACGAAGTGTCCAAACTCTGTATTCCCAACATCCAATCAGCAGGGAGGCCTTCGGAAGTGTTGTCACGGGCTGTGATTCAGAACTTGAACAAGTTGATAAAGTCCTGGGGAGAGAGTGAAACGGAGCAGCTCTCGGGGTTATTGGCTGTGCACGGGTGGTCGGTGCCCTGCAAAGGAACATCAAGGTCAGGTTTGAGTTCTCAGAAGCATCTCGTTGGCTTGGAGCACCATAAGGCATTGCCCAACTCAAAACAACATCCCTCTGCCAAGAATGCCATAAATTCTGCAAAAACTAAAGAGGGGTGTGTGTGTGTGTATGCGTGCACACGCGCGAGTGCACGCATGTGCATTTGTGCGCAGAGATGGGAGAATTTGGGGGTGGGTGGGTTGCAGAAAAAAATAAACCTAAAGGGGGGGTTTTAAGGAAATTATGGTCTTTGAAAGTTTTTTCCCCAGGGACAGAACTGGTTTTATCTTCACCTTCAGCTGGAGGTTGCAATTAGGAAAGGAGTTGGCGTCGTAATGGCTGGTACTATTGGCTCTTAGGGGCTGGGCCAGGGGTCTGTGGCTGCCACCTCCGAGGAACATACCTTCCAGGAAAGAATGTGACAGTGTTTGCAAAGCTGTAGGGTGTCTCCATACTGCTCTTTCCGTGGGTAGCATCGCACAAGTTTAAAATACATCTTCTTCCAATCCAGCTGTCCTTTGTCTGACAGAATCAATCGCTTGCGGATCTAAATATCAAATAAAAGTCGTTGCAGGAGAGTTCAGTAAGGAGAGGGCTTGTGGTTTTCTGGTTCTGAAAGTTCTGCTCCCACCCGCTTCCCTCCTTTTTCATCTCTACCCTGTAATAGTTAGGGGGAAATAGCCAAGATAGAAAGAAGACGCTTCTGATAAACAGCTTTTAATCAGTCTTTAAAGGAAACAGGTGGTTGGTGACATCTTTCTAGTGCAGCGGTTCTCAACCTGTGGGTCGTGACCCCTTTGGCGGTCGAACGACCCTTTCACAGGGGTCACCTAAGACCATCCTGCATCTCAGATATTTACATGACGATTCATAACAGTAGCAACATTACAGTTATGAAGTAGTCACGAAAATAATTTTATGGTTGGGTCACAACATGAGGAACTGTATTGAAAGGGCCAGAAGGTTGAGAACCACTGTTGTAGTGACCTCCACTAAAGTGCATTTGGCTAGTACTGGCCAGGTAGCTCAGTTGGTTGGATCATCATCCAAATATGCCAATGTTGGTTGTGGGTTTGATCTCTGGTCAGGGCACATAAAAGGAACAACCAATGAGTGCATAGGTAAGTGAAACAATAAATCAGTGTTTCTCTCTCTCTCTCAAAATCAATAAATTAAAATAATTAAAGTTTAGGTGATCTCAATGAACAATGTCAATCTTTTCTTTGCTCTAGCTTGAGTGATCATTTCCAGGGAGATGCAGTGACTGCCTGGCACAGTGGCTCTATTTTATATCTAAACATTACAGGCTTCATGAGCAGAACTAGTTGACCTCACACTTCTATATAAAGAAGTTGGAAAACAAGACTGAGGCAGCAGGAGGCGGGGGAAGAGCCCATAGTTGGTGTCAAGAGGCCCAAGTTCAAATTCAAGGCCAGTTTCTTCAACTACAGAACCCCTCACTAATTTCGATGTTACTTAGCCATTTGTGGCCCAAATCTCCTCATCTGTTTAAAGTGGCATCATGATACCCACCCTTCCTGGGGTCATTAATATAAAATGAATTAATACCTGTAAAGGTACTTTAGCTGTACTATATCATAAAAGTATGTTACTTTGTTATAGAAAAGAAGGACTGGGGTCAATTTGTGAAATTTTTTTTTAGAAAGTTGTAAAATGTGGATGGTTATGAAGGTGTCCCCGCCCCTCCCCCCCCATCAAAACCACCTAAAAAATACCAAAATCTCACACACACACAATTTAGAAAGTCCTCGGACTGTTGTTTTCCAGTCAAACCAGGGAGCCCTGGAGGGTGGGCACCCACACTTCAAGCTTGAGAAGAGGCCAAGGAAGCCTGAGGTGGGGACCGAGGAGGGGGGAGAAGGAAGGAGTGCCCGCGGGGCCGCACCGACCTGCCGCTCGGAGAAGTGGTACAGGCAGAGCCTCTTCCACAGCAGCCGGTCCTCGCTGAGCACGTGCAGGTTGGGGCCCACCTGGCCCAGGCTGACCAGGTCGCGCCCGTCGCTCAGCCTCTGCATGATGTTCAGTTGCAGGCACAAAGGCAGGTCGGTGAAGGTGAGGCCTTTGAAGGCAGGCTGCGGGGAGAAGGGTGATGTTATGTCTTGGGGCGGAGAGCAGCAGGTCACCAGGCCACAGCCCCCAAGGATGCAGCTGTCCCCTCACCCTCCATCTTCAAGCTGGTTTATTGATCAGACATCAAAGCAGCAATTCTCTCTGCCCTAAGCAGAGACAGGCCCATGGCTGAGACCACAGAGAAGAGCCTGGACCGCTGGAGCTGAATGGTGCCAGGAGATTTTCCTGCTTCACAAAGCCTCGTGTGTTGACTCAAGATTTCCCCAGCAGCACATGTTGGCTTCTCCTGCTTTAGTCAGTTCACTCAATTAGGAGATTCGCTACCTTCTGTGAGCGCTCACTGTCCTGGACAGAGTACCCCTGCCCGCCGCCCCAGCCTCCTACCTCACTGGCCCCTGGTGACCACCGACCCCCCAAGCAGGTTTGCTCACCAGCCCCCAAACACGCTGCCCAGGAGGCCTCCACTCCCCCTGCCCTCCCTCCCTGCCCATCCAAATGGTATGCTTCCTCTGAAAGGCCTTTCTGGCCCTTGCGACTCCCTCAGGCCTTATTCTTCGCATCTCCCCAGAATCCTGAGGCTCTCTCTCAGGTGCTTCTGGCTGCAGGCCCCCTTTGGTTTTGTAATGCAGTCTTTTACAAAAGGAAGCCGGGATACCACATTGCTGTTAGAATGTAAGTCCAAGGAGGCAGGACGTTTGATCTTTTTTCTTTGCTGTGCCCCCAATGCCTAGAAGAGCGCCTAGCATATAGTCGGCACTCAATAAATATCTGTGGAATGAATGACACCCGAATCATTAAATAGGTCAACAACAGCAGCAGCAAAATGACCCTGCACTGGTTGGTGTCTGTGTCTGTCTGTGTGTGCTTGCGTGTGTGCACACATGTATTCACACTGTGACTATGGCACCCAGAACCCTGGTAGCCTAAATGCCACCACCAGCCATGGAGGCATCTCTATTCAGACCTAGGGCCCCAGAGAACATTTTGAACACTGTCTGTGTGTGGATAATGCCTTGGTAATTGATCACGAGCTTCTCAACTATATTCCTGAATGTTTATTTAAGCCCTTTGTTGCTTAAATTGGAGGAGCTCATGTTATCCCACCCAGATTCCCATCCCTGAAGCCAGGGTCTAACTTAGTACTCTTTGCAGACTAGCCCAGCACAAGCAACACTTTATGAGGGCTTACTATGGGCTGGCCCTGGAGGTGCTGCAATGGCTCATTAGGCAGGTGAGAGACCCAGAAACAAGCAAATACTTCTAGAAAAAAAATCTGTTAAACGCTACCTAGGAGGCGTGCAGACAGCACTCTGGGAGCAGTCTCTACATAGACAGTCCTCAGTATTTGCCGACACGTCTAGAGCATCAACTGGAGGCTGCCATCGGGATAAGAAGTCAGCACAAATCACCTGATTCTGTGGTTCTTGATTCCTGGGTGGGCTTTCTGAGTGTGCACCACTGACATTTTTAGCTCAGTATTCTGTCACCTCTGCGGGTCACAGGAAAAGAAGTACAGACTGAAGAAACCCTTCCTTAGCTCAGGGGAAGATATCCTGGGAATGGGTATGGAGTTTCCTTCTCAAATTTCTAGGGAACTAGACTCTGTAGGAAGCACATCAAAGCCCGACCACACAGGATTCCTGGGGGACATGCAATTAGCAATCCCATCCCGTGTCCCCTGCAAAGCAGGACAGGCATGTAGAGGGAAGGTGGCAGTGGCGGGGGACCTGGAAGGATGGCCTACGAAGAAGTATGGGAACTGACATGGGAGGGACACGGGATGGACATGCAACAGATCTGGGTCCCAGGTACCCTTGGGAAGTGTGGGTCTGTCTGCCCATGTCCACAATGAATTGGTTTAGAAGATTCTGAAGATCCCTTCCAGCTCCGACAAGCTCAGGTCTGGAGCCGTTTCAGCCTCCTAACTCATCAGAAGTGTCTGTGACTTGGCAATTTTTATTGCTCAGGCTGCGGGGGTGAGCTTTCAATTGTTAGTAAAATTCAGGGCTCAGCCGGGCTGCAGAAGGCCCGAGACCTATTTGTCGTTTATCATCTGCTGCTGATCACGTGAGCTAATAAAACTGCCAGGAGGTTTTCTCTTTGTTCCCAGCACTTCAAAGCATCTACTTTTTTGGTTAGAACTCCCAGGCCAATTATTATATGAACTCCTATTAAAGTCCGCTTGGCAGAGTTCATCCTCAAATTTTCAAACCTGAACTTTTCCAAAATTCTTGCCCAGACCCCATGCTGAGCCCTTACTCCTGATACTTGGTTAACTGCTTGTGTGCCTTCTTCTTCTTGAATATAAACATTTAAGAGAAAAATAAGTTACTCTTGCTCCTTTGATCGCGCATTTGGCTAAAATCCTTTATGTCCTCCCTGCCCACAGGCTTCAAAACCCTGCCTCGCTCACAGTGCTCTGTGATTCTATTTACCCCCCCTCCCCCATTCTTTTCATTTTTCATCCTTTATTATACTAATTAGTTTGCCAATAAAAATCTGACTTCATAGAGTTAGATATAAAATTTTTATGGACAAGAAGATACTGATAGAACTTTGACAACTAGAAAGCAATTCATATAAATGTCACCTGCTAATATTTTCGTGTAATAAAGTACTTTTCTTTGGTCCAAACTGTTAAAAAGTAAGCTTTTTAAATACAGTCCAGACTGAAGTAATTAAACCCCTTCTCTCTTTCTCCTCTCTCTCTCCCTCCCTCTCTCTTTCTCTATCCATTTGCATGAAAAGCTCCTCATGACTCTCAGGGTTTCCTGCTCTCAAAATCTTGCAGCTCATGGCCAAGGAGGGTCGAGAAGGAGGGCCTGAGCGAGGAGAGAGCATTGATGAAAGCACAGCCTCTGCAGACAGGTCTGGGTTCAACCCCCAAGCTCTGTCTTAAAGGTGGTGAGACCCCGGCCAGGTTATTCCTAACTACTCGGTCATCTACAAAATGAGGAAACGCGTATCTCATAGTGTTGCTGGGAGAATGGATGAGCGGATGCACGCAAGTCCTTAGCACAGTGCCCAGGAGCTATTAGCTATTATGAGGACTCCTACTTACAGTTATTATTCACTAGATGGGTTGATATACAGGGTGGGGCAAAAGTGGGTTTACAGTTGTTCATACAGAAAGTAATACGATTAAGAATAATACAAGAATAAACTCGATTTCACATACAACTATAAACCTACTTCTGCCCCATCCTGCTGTATGTAAAGGACTTAGAAGAGTGTCCGCCACAGAGTGAGCCCTTAATAATCATAACAGCTGATGCATTTACAATACTTACTGCATAGCAGGCACAGTTCCAAGTGCTTTTCATGTATTAACTTCTTAAATCTCACACCAGTGCTATGAGATACACTTTATTGCCCTATTTTCCAAATGAGGAAATTGAGACATGAAGTGGCTGAATAACTTGCCCCGAATCCTGCAGTTGGTAAATCGTCATCATCATCTATAGTACAGGGCATTATTTTCCGATTGTAATCCTCTGACCTTTGAACAAGTACTTCAGGCAGGCGGTGGGCGGAAACTTCCCTTCAATCATTCATTCATTCAGCTAAATTTATTGACTGCCTTCTACTCTGTGCCAGATAGAGGGGGCAGAGCAGGGGACAAGATGGTAATGTCCTTTCTTTGTGGAGTTGATGAGACAGTGGATGGAGACCACAGAGTGAATCCCCAGATGAGGTCATTTCAGATGGTAATAACTGCTCTGAAGGAGGTGAGATGACAGTGGCTTCAACAGATTGGGTGGTCAGGGGAGGTGACAAGTTAAAAGGCCCAAGCCAGGACCAAGCTGAGAGTGTGCAGAGAACAGCTTGGCCTAGTGGAGCACCATGAGCAGAATGAGATGAACTTCAGTATTTAATCGGCTCTTTGTGGGATTTCTTTGGATTTAAAAGATTTGCAAAAAGCTGAATCACTGAATAAATAGTTGGAAGAAAACTGGATTGAAAGAAAGTTTGGAAAGCACTGATGTTAAGAAAACTTGGCCATTTTAGGAATAAGGAGTCCAGGGTTCTGGCCTCGGCTCTGTCTCTAATTGCTGAGTTACTTGGGGAAAGTCACTGGACTTCTCTGGCTCCCTGCCCCCCCCCACCCCATGAAGAAATAGCAACTACAGTGCTAATTTCCAAGAGTGTGTGTGGGTCAAGTGAAAGGGCCCCTGGGGAAGTCAGCCCATGGAAGTGCAAGGTACGTGGGTGGATGTGGCCAAGAGGCTCCTGAGAGGTGGACAGAGGGCACAGAGGCCAGCTCTGGGCAAGAGTGACATCCAGTGGGTGTCCCAAAGTTGCTGGAGGGAAGATGGATTGGGACAAATGGGACTTGCTCATTTATATCACTGGCTGGGTAATTCTCTTCTGGGCTTAGAAAAAACACGACGTATTAAGTCCAGGCTACAGAGAATGCCAGAGATTAGGTAGAAAGTGTAAGTGGGTTTTCTGTGAGAGATAAGCTGGAAACTTGGGTCTCAAATCTACATCGTCAAACTATGCCTACCCTTGAGAGATGGGAATGGAGTAATTTTTAAAAAATCAGATAAACGCTCATAAGGAAGTCTTATGTTCTCTTATAATAGTCAAAGAATTGAGATCGCTTTTGATAGATTACTTGGGCTTGTGCTCTGCATTGTGTGTGTGCATGTGTGCATGTGTATGCATGTGTGTATATGTGTGATTCTAAGGAAGTCACATACTATGAGGCCTGTTTCAGAGTTTAAGAAACCAAGGTACAGAGAGGTTTTGAACAGTAGTGTCAAGGACACTGCATTGGGAAAACTTCACTTAGCAAAAGAATCATTTAAAAGAGGTCAAAGAGGTTTTTCATGTTATTTTCTGGAGAGGTGGGGCAGACCCACACTTTATCGGCGTGGGTCCCGGAACCACTTAAAGCAGCCGTGGTCAGCGGTTAGATAAGTCAGCCAAGTGCGACGTGAGCTGCCTAAGTGCACCTGTCCATTAGCAAGCCCTGGGAGATTACCCCGCATCTCCTCACAGCTTCTGTGGGCTTGGTCCTCCTGCTCACTGGTGAGAGGACGAGAGCTGAGGGCCAAGTTAAAACCGAAAAGAAACCACTGATAGTAGTTAAGCTGGCAATATAGGACTTTTCTTTCTTTCTTTTTTTTTGGGGGGGGGGCTTTGAGTTAGAATTGCTCATGTGTTTTCTCACATGTATGTTCACAGTCTTTAATCAAAGGCTTCCTTTGTCCTAACCCTTGAGATTCGGAACTAGAATTTTAAAAGGTTGGGACCAGTTCTCCAAGCCACGGCCACCACCGCTCTATAGTACCCAAGGCGGCATCCAAAAGCTGCAAACAACACAGGCTTTAAGAAGAAAAGGCCGAAGAGGAGAGACCCGCAAAGGGCACTGAAGATTTCAGCGGCACAGCCAGCCTCTTCCCCAAAGCCCACTTGCCGGGTCTCCCACCGCGTTTCCTCTTTCACACCCTCTGATCCTTCTTCCCAGCCTCCCGTTATCAGGAAGCCCCCCTCCAGCACTCAGTAGACAGCATCAGAATAGAATGGCCCAGGCTCTTCAGCACCAGAGTGGAGATAAAGAGCCGACTGCAGCTTCCCCTGCCAGGCCGGAGCTGGGCGGCCCTGCTTACCCTGGTGATCTGAATGTTGTTTAGCTGCTGCTGCCAGTGTAGAATCGTCTCCATTCGGTACACCCACATGTTAATGTTCCCGACCAGCACGCACTTGCCAACCCTTTGCACCAATGTGCACAAGGACGTGTAGAGGGTCTGGAGTAGCTCCCTTATTAGTCTAATGTTTTGCTGGTCTTCCAGGACTTGGGTGGGGAAGAAAAAGAGAAAGAATAGTTAGGCTACTGGGACACCCTACATTGTGTAAGTGGGCCTTTCTTCTTCTGTATTCTGCTCGTGTTACCGGGGTACGGCCTCTGGGGATCTGGTTTTCTTTCGGCCTGGCCAAGCTTCTGCACTCGAGGTTGCCGGGTAGAGTTTCCGTTATCTAGGTCCCTCTTTGTTCTAGTCTCCCTAGTTTTCTACAAAGACTCTTTCTTTTTCATTGTTCCACCCACACCAGCGGTTCACCTGACCTGAAAGCAGGTGCTTTTGCATCCCGTTTAGATGGTTATTGGTAGGAGCATCGGGGAGTTGGGGAGCACGGGATCTAATCCTGGATGGGTGACTCTTTGTGTGATCTGGACAAATCACTCTTTCTCCCGGGCCTCAGTTTCCCCATATGTACAATGACTCAGTGATCTAAAAACCCAAGGTTCCTTCTAGCTCCAAGAGCCCAGGAATCTCTTCTGCCTTGTACACAGCTCCATTTTCTAGGGATTTGGGCCCCAGAGGCTTGGTATCCAAGGTGGGGACAGGCGTTGACCCTGAGAAAACCGAGAGGCTTGCGGCAGGGTAGATGATTTCAGGAAAAGGACAGGAGGGTGGTGCTCTTACTCTGTGCCATGGGCATGAGTTGTGCCTTTTTCTCATCTGGGATCTGAGATGCATCTGGAGTGACTCCTTTCCATCCACTCACATTCTCCTACATCTAATGACATGTCTACTCTGCTGGAAAACCCATCCGTCCATCCCCACGCCTATAAAAAGGGGTGAGAGAGTGAGAGAGAGCTCACCTTTCAGTACCACTTTTTCCAAAATATTCATGAAGTTCTTTTGGGCAATGCCACTCAGGGATGTGAGCTGTGACTTCGCTATCAGTTCCAACAGCTGTGGGTAAAAATAGAAGTTGCCAGGCTTAGAATACAGAGATATTTTTCTCCTCTAATCTTTGCTTTTGAGTCACATGACACGTAGATACAGACTGACGGGAAGAGATAAACGGCAGGCAGGGCCACGAGGCAATAAAAAGCAGATGCTCAGAGGGAAAGACAAATGGGGGTAACTCAAAACCCAAGAATCAGACTGAATATTTAATTGCTTTTTTTCTTTTACATATAAAGAGTTTGGCTGCAGCCGGGGCTAATTCATTCTGCTTGTCCTACTTCAGCAAGTGGAGCTGATGTACTCTGAAGGGAACAAAACCTCTTATGACCTGTGGATGTCTGAGTTCCGAATAATCACTCCAAGCAGGGCTTCTTTACCCGCACTGAACTTCTTCCCCACTGGCACCGACTGCTTGCAAGGCACCCAAATGCTCATGTTCACCTTTCCCAGGCACTTTCCAAGGAAGTGGCCATTCTTACCAGGATATCTCCTGCTTATGCAGCATTCAATGAAAATGCCTATTAATTACGCTCTTTCGTTGTACTTAACTTTTTGTAGAAAGAGTCCAACCATTGGAAGAGAGAGAAATTCAGAGATGTAGAGTATCTATTGCTAAGAGGCTAGGATATTTGCAGCTCTAGGCTGAGGTTCAAGTCTTGGTTTAACCACTTATTGTCTCTGTGACTATGAGAAAATGAGTTTCTTGGTGCCTCAGTTTCCTCATCTGTACTACTAATATTTAGAGTCCCCAAGGTTATTGAGAGCTTTTCACAAGGGCATGCACATACAGCCCTGAGCAGAGTGGCTGGCATTAATTAGGTGGGAGATAAAGGTGAGTTTGTTCATTGAAGAAGTATGTCCCATTCCCACCACCCCCATGATCAGCAATTAAGAAGAGAGAGAGTAACAAGTTGATCCACCCTCAGCCCAATCTTCCTTCCCTTCCATAGCAAGATTCTTTACAGGTGTGGAAACATTTTTGTAAAATCCAAAGATTCTATTGTTGAAAAATAAAACTGCAGGCTCCAGTGACCCATTTCACAGATGGGCAAAGTGAGGCTTGAGAAACTAATCCTTACCAATTACTCCACACGCAGTGAGAGGCCTTGGCAGAGTCCTCTTCACCCTTCATGCTTTCACAGAGTCATCAACAAAAAAGGTTGATGTAAAGTGAAAATAACTTTACCAGAATCCAATAGGCCTCAGGAAAACCTAACTAGCCTTAGTCTTAAAAAGTAAACTAATCGTAGAGAACCAAGATCTCAGCTTTATTTGAAAGCTTGAATCCCTGCTCCTCGGAAACTTTCCAGGGGAGTTTCATCTCCTGGCCAGGCCCCAACTGAACTTTCCTTCAGATCAGTAAACACTGGATACGACACTGTGCTGCGTGCTGGAATCAAGGCTGAGGGAACTAGCAAAGTGACATTCTAAAAACTGGGCTGCAGAGGAGAACTGAAACTGCTGGATCCAAGCCCCAAGCAATTCAAAAAACTCTGCTTCCAAAGCATTTGTTTAAAAATTCTGTCCCCATGGAGCCCCTTGGGAGCCTGTCAAACCACATACAGGCTTTTAATTTCCTGAGCATAACTTTAAGTTCAAAAATAAAAAAACAAAAAGAACCACCCCCAAAGCTTTCCTTCCCCGCCTGGCATCTCTCTCTCTCACACATGCAGGCAGAGACGCCGTCACCTGATTGGGAAGAAGGCGCCTGGAAAAGGTTTGTTAAGATTAGTACTGGTGATCCAAGGTCGGAAGTCAGGAGCTACCAAGTGGCCACTAAGAGAGGCAAGAATTCAAAACGTCCATGGGCAGTGGCCACCCTGAATGCCCTCTGCCTGTCTGGCTCAGCTCTGTCACCAACCAGCACGTGACAGTCAAAAGAGGAGTGAAAAATGGCACAGAGGGACTGGCCAGACCTTTCATCTATCTCCCGGACCAACAAGATTCAGAAGGCCGAGCAATGGTCTTTTAATACCCTGAGCCTCACATGACCAACACAAAGCATGATGAAAGAAAACAAAGCCTCGAGTCGTTCTTGGAAGGGCAGTCGGCTGTGTGACTCATTGGGGTGAGGGGGTGGGAGGTGGGTCAAGGGGGTGGGAGGAGGGCGGGCAGAGCTCGGTCTGGAATCCATCCCAAACTGAGTCCACGTGACTACCATCTCATGAGAGTGTCACTTTTTAGAGTGTCTAAAAATGTGCCAATCACAAGGACAAGAATGATCTCAGAACCATGACTGTGCATTTGAGGGAAAAGAAAAAAACCTTTGGTCTGACTGAAATGATCTCTGAGGAGGAGAAGGAATAGAGCAGCCAAAATTTGTCCATCGACAGCAGAATGACATGTTCACTGCCCTGTGTTTAATCCCATCTTAATGGAAAGTCCTTCCCTTCACCTCCGGGGCAGCTGTGGGGTCGGGAGGAGACCTAGATGCTCTTGCTGGGTGACCTTTACGTCTGTCATTCATTTAGCAAGCGTTTTTTGAGTGGCACCTCTATCCTGGTGTTGTGGTAGGCAACGTGGACATGCGGATACAGACGCATGATCCTTACACTCATGGAGTTTACTGTCGAGTCTATGATTCAAGTCATTTAACCTCTCAGAACCCCAGTTTCTTCATTTCTAAAATGGAAATAGAAGGACTACTTATATCACAGGGTTATGAGAATTAAATGAGATAAATATGTAAAAAACCCACTGTGAACAAAATATAAGACAGTATTAGTATTATAAGTTATTATTTCTTCCCCTTCCAAACCCTAATCTTTCAGTAAAATTTAAAGTTGATATCAGGATTAGCAAACTTTTTCTGTAAAGGGCCGGATAGTAAATATTATAGTCTTTCTGGGTCATATGGTCTCTCCTGCAACTACTCAGCTCAGCAGTTGCATGAAAGCAGCTGTAGACAATATGTAAATGAACAGGTGTGGCTGTGTTCCAATAAAACTTTATTTACAAAAACAGGTGGGGGACCATATTTGGCCCTTGCGTTCTAGTTTGCCAACTTCTGCTGCAGATATCATAGAGTTCAAGAGTGAGGGCTGCAGAGCCAGACTACCTGCCTCAGTTTCCCATCTGCAAAACATGCATAATAGTATTTCCTGTCTCAGAGTAGCTGTGAAGATAAAATGTGTTCATAAAGCACTCATAATAGTGCCTGGTACCAAGAATATACTCAGTGAATTATTATTATTACAATACAAAGAATATTACTAGGTAAAATTACTGTTGGTTTAAAGACTTTTAGAACTCCGCTATTTCAATTTTATGTACTGTCAACCAACTGCTTAGATGCTTTCAAAATTTTAATATTCCTTTATGTCATTTTTATTATGTTTGTGATACATTTAATATCTCCCTCTCTGTTAATAAAAGTTAATGTTGATACATTTTATGACTTACATGGGTGCATCTACCATGAAGTCTTATTTCGCTAATAATAATAAAGGATGTTTATTACATGGCAGTAATTGTGCTAAGCACTTTACATGTGTGATTTCCTTTAAGCTTCAATGGTAACCCAATGGGGATGGGTTCTCCATGTGACAATAGAGGCTACTGCAGCTCAGAGAAGTTATGTAACTCACCTAAGACATACCAGCAGTAGTAAGTGACGGAACCAGCACTTGAGCCCAGATATGTCTAACAGAACACATGTATTTTGATAGCTTCAAAACTTCAGTTTCTCAAGGCCAATCAAATTTGCATCTAGGGCCAAACTTTACTCTAAAAACAGTAGCAATGCTATGTATGGTTATGTTCTGGTAAACAGAGTCTGGAAATTTTTTATCAATATTACCTTGTGACAGGTAATCAGCTTTTAACATTAAGGGAGAAATAACACCCAGAAAGTGTTAATAACACCTTTATTAGCCTTGGGTAAACCTTTTAGGCCCATTTTTCATATCAGCATGAAAAATAGGCCCAGAACCAACCGGTAGGTAGTACTGTGTGAAATTCGTGGTCAAGAGGACAGGATTTATTAATTTCTGTGTCAAAAGAGCTGTGTGCCTAGGAGAGTAGAATTGTATTTACCCATTGATTTACCAAGATGGCTTAGCCCAGTGGTTCTCAACCTTCCTAATGCCGCGACCCTTTGATACAGTTCCTCATGTTGTGGTGACCCCCAATTTCATTGTTACAAATTGAACATAATTAAAGCATAGTGATTAATCACAAAAACAATATGTAATTATATATATGTTTTCCGATGGTCTTAGGCGACCCCTGTGAAAGGGTCGTTTGACCCGCAAAGGGATCGCGACCCACAGGTTGAGAACCGCTGGGCCTTAGCCAATTGGATTCTTTGCCACAAGAGAAAAGGAGAGCGGAAGCAAATGTCCTGTTTGGAAGTGGCTGTTGGTTTCTGCTGGGCAGATTTTAGCCCAGGTGCGGGGCATTTGTGGCTGTGTTTAAGGAGAGGCAGGAGGGCGGGGGGCGGGGGGGCAGGAGGAGGACGGTTCTCGGCTCCTGAATTCCATGGTGTCATCACCGTGTGGGTTGTGGGATGTGGGATATGTAGCATGATTTGCAGCGACAAGCTGTGCAGTAACAGGAAAGGTTCTGGGCCACCGGAGGAAGGGAGGGTGGTCACCGCATACCGAAACCACATCCTGCCCCGGAGCTCGGGCTCATGCTCGTTTGGACACGTAGGAGAAAAATCTAGTTGCAAGCAACAGCATCTAGGCGGATCTCAGAGTGGATATCAACCACGGTTTGAAGATGAATGGGCAGAAAAGAGATTTCCCTCCTACCTCACTTTACCCACAGGAAAAGCAGGTTTCCTCTCTTCTCTTCCCTTCAGTTTATGTTCTTAATAGTCTACCAGTGAATCAGTTCATGTTACTTCTCTGCTTGGAACCCTCAAATGGCTTCCCTTTGCACTTAAAAAAAAAAAATCCAATCTCCTTCCCATGAATGGCAAGGTCTTCCCTGATATGGTTCTTGCTCCTTCGCCAGCCTCACTGTGCACAGTGCTTCCCCAGTTTGATCCTCTCTGGCCA